AAAAAAAAAAAAAAAACTAGGAGTTTCTTTTCATTCTTCTTCATTCTTTTGTTTTTTTCTTTGGGGCATTGTTGTGATAAATTAGCTAAGTTAGTTCTTGGTTGGCACTCTAGTTTTTTGAGATTGAAGGCATTCTTTTAGAGTTGCTCCGATGTGTGTTTTCTTTTGCTTTTTTTTGTGGAAAAAAATTATATCACTGTATTATTGGTATATGTGTTCAACCAACAAAGAAAGGGAAGAACTGATTAGGATTATGTCTAATGTGCTGTATGTGGTTGGCTTAGTTGTGTGAAACCAGTAACTTGGGCAAGCTTAATGCCTTTACATTGTTTATAGATTGGCATTGGGCTCCTTTGGAGCAATTCTACTTTGGCTTGGAACATGTGTATTCCTTGTCTTCTTAATGCATATTGAATTACCATCCCGCCCTTAATATTCCCTTTTCCTGGTCTTGGTCTTTTCAGAGATGATGCTCAGATAGGTGACCATACTGAATGTGAGGACAGAGAAACCAGTGATAAAATCAAGACTAAGGTTTCCACAAAGAAAGCCAGATCTGAGGGAGAACATCAAGAAATTCCTAAGTGTCAAGCTAGTGATTCTGTACAGGATGAAACTAAAAAATGTTCTAGTCCGATAGCAGTTTGTGAAAATAATAAGTTGCATGATCATTTAGATAAGGAAGTTTCCCCTTCCACAAAGAAAGCCAGATCTGAGCGTGAAGGTGAACATCAAGAGATTCAAGCTAGTGATTCTGTACAGAATGACAGTCAAAAGTGTTCCAGTTTGCTAGCAGTTTGTGAAAATAATAAGTTGCAAGGTCATTTAGATAAGGAAGTTGCACCTTCAGACATTATGAGTATAGTTCAGGAGACAGACTATAGATCTTCCAGAAGGCCTACGCACCCACACCCTACTGATAACTCCTCAAAAGAAAGAGATAATGCAGTTGGATTGAGAGTTAAAAAGATAATGAGGAGAGCCTCAGACGACAAAGAGTCTGCAGTGCTAGTCCAGAAACTAAGAGAAGAAATTAGAGAAGCTGTCCGTAACAAGTCTTCAAAAGATTTTGGGAAAAATAACATCTTTGATCCAAAACTTCTTGCTGCATTCAGAGCTGCAATAGCAGGACCCAAAACTGAACCAGTTAAGCAGTTAAATACTTTTCTTGTGAAGTCAAAGAAGTCATTGTTGCAGAAAGGAAAGGTCCGTGAGAATCTAACAAAGAAAATATATGGGACAAGCAATGGAAGACGGAGACGTGCATGGGACAGGGATTGGGAAATTGAGTTCTGGAAGCATCGGTGCATGAGGACTACAAAGCCTGAAAAGGTTGAAACACTAAAGTCTGTTCTTGACCTCCTAAGAAAGAGCTCAGAGATGGAAAAAGGGTCTGAAGGGGAGGCTTCAAATCCCATTCTTTCCAGGTTGTATCTAGCAGATACATCTGTCTTCCCTAGGAAGGATGATATCAAGCCTCTCTCAGCCCTTACATGCATTAGCAACAATGAACAGATAAAAGAAGATAGTTCAACAACAAAAAATTTTAAACCAAAATTTGACAATCATACAGTCCAGACACCTTCAATGACAGCCATTCCTTCAGTTGATAAGGGAAAAAAGGGTGGTGCTCCAAGCTTAAAATGTGAGTCTAATTCTTCGAAAATACATCCCAATGGACCCACAAGCAGGCTGAACTCCATTTCTTTGTCAGGTGGTTCCAAAGTGAAATCCCAAGATACAAAGGACACTGCTAGTAAATCTGATAATGTAAAGATAGATAAAAGGAAATGGGCCCTGGAGGTTCTTGCAAGAAAGACCGCTATGGGAGGCAAGGATGCAGCTCAAATGAAACAGGAAGATATTGCAGTTCTCAAAGGCAATTATCCTTTATTGGTATGTCAATAACCCTTTTTTGCTGATAGTATACCAAAGTAGGCAACTATCCTTTATTGTAATGTCAATAAATTTCTTTTGCTGAAATTGATTAAAATGCCAGTTCATCTTAGAAATGTCTAACAATATGAAATGTTTTAACTTTGGTTGATTTTAGCAGGCCCAACTGCCGATAGATATGAGACCAGTACTTGCACCCATCCGCCATAATAAAGTTCCAGTATCAGTTAGGCAGGTATATAGCGCCTCATGCATTAGACTGTTTTTAACATGCTTAAGCAGAAATATCTGTTTATTCTCTGAAATTAATAAATTTTTGCATGGACCTTTATTAATAATGTAATTGCGTAGGCACTATTTATGACTTCTATAAGTTTTTTTCCCTTCAGAACTGATTAAGTATCTTTTATAACATTTCCAAACAAGATTAATGTAGAGTTTGTCTTCATGACTTTTAAGGTTCCTTTCCTTCGACATCAGTTGGCCCATCTGAGTTGTAGATAATTTATGAAATGTTTGTTGTACAGGCACAACTTTACCGCCTGACAGAACATTTCTTGAGGATAGCAAATCTTCCCATTATTTGTAGAACTGCAGTCACAGAGTTGGCCATTGCAGATGCTGTCAACATTGAAAAGGAGATTGCTGATAGATCAAACAGCAAGCTTGTATATGTGAATCTTTGCTCTCAGGTTCTGTCTCAACATAGAAATAACAGCAAACCTGGTAGTGAAGCCAAAGAATTAAATCCTCCATCAGAAGACATTGCAAGAAGTACAGAACCAGCAGCTGCCAAAGAATCCTCTTTTGATCCAACAGTGGAAGAAGCACTGAGACTGGCAGGCCTTCTGTCTGAGTCCCCACCAAACAGTCCTTATTGCCCAATGAAAGAGCAGGATGATGAAGAGGACACCTCATTAAAGGTCCAAGAGGAGGATGGGCCTGTAGATATATTCAATATGGATTCTCATCCAGAATTGGATATATATGGGGATTTTGAGTATGATCTGGAAGAGGAAGATTATATCAGTGCTACTTCTTTGAGGGCACCCAAGTCACAACCACAAGAAGGTGATTCAAAAATGAAGGTTGTATTCTCCACTCTCAACTCTGAAAGAGAAAATAATGGTCTAGATTTTAAAGATAATGGAAGATTACGGGTTGCTGAGGAGTCAATGGATTCTCCCATGTTGGAATGCCATAAAGATAGTGACATTCAAAGCTCAAACTCAACTGATAAGGTTGGCAGACAAAGTCTTCCATTAGAATCTTTACAAGATGGAGATGCAGAGCCTTCTATGGCAGAATGTGAGGAGTTATATGGCCCTGACAAAGAACCCCTGGTAGAAAGGTTTCCCATAAATGCATCAAGAGAGCCAGATAAGTTGGTCCAGAAGGAAGCGTCATCTGAAGAAATAGCTCCTGCAGAAAATAAAACTTGTGGATCAAATAAAGCATCTATTCCCAATCATGAGAATGAGAACAGTACAGAGAATATATCAGTCACAGGCAGATTTTCTGTTGAACATGACTCTTCTGTGGGAAACAATTCACCAAAGCATTCTCTAACGAGAGAAACTGTACTAAGGAAGGAGACAAGCCCCAAAAATCACAAGCAGTTGGACCTCAGCCATTCCATATCCATAAAGGTATTATAGTGAAGTATCCTGTCTTTTTTTACTTCCTTCTGACAACTGAAAGATCTAGTGGTCAAGTCAGTTTTTTTTTTTTTTTTCTTTTGTTTTCATTTTTTTTATGTACATTTAGCCATCTCAATTCTATTATGTTTCTTGTGTTTACTGGTTCTCTGTACAATGATTGGTGTATCCAAATTCTGTCTTGCAGGTGGAAGCGTATATTAAAGAACACATCAGGCCACTGTGCAAAAGTGGTGTGATCACAGTGGACCAGTACAGATGGGCCGTGGCTAAAACAACAGATAAAGTTATGAAATACCATGTAAAGGCCAAGAATGCAAATTTCCTAATAAAGGAAGGGGAGAAAGTGAAGAAACTTGCAGAGCAATATGTTAAAGCTGCTAAGGATAAGCAAGAGTAATGGACYCCAGTTTAAAGGCAGTTTCTAGATCCTTCTCTGGCAGCCTATCTTCGACCTCCTATTTTGCAGATAAGGAGATGAAAGGAGAAAAAGAAGGGTAGCATCCAACCTATAATCCTGTTTTGGCTGTTCATGAAATTCCAGGATCTATGAGGGTGTATGAAACTTGGGTTGAATTGAAGCTTATTTGAATGTATATAATTATACGGGGTGCTTCATAAGAGCATTGAACTGCATCCTCAACCAACAAATGATTAATAGGATTACTAGCGGAAGGGCCCTGCGTTGCAGGGGCAAAACATGATGGTAAGTAGCTTGTGAGTAAATTTTTTTCATTAAAAGTTTATTGGAAAAAATATTTATTTAAAATAAATAAAAATTTGGGAAAATTCCTGATCAGTACCTTGTATTTTGGCTCGAGTGATAATTTGGTTTCCAGACTTTAAAATGCGACAATTCAGTATCCAAACTTTCAAAATGTGACAATCCAGTACCTGCCGTTAATCAATCGTTAAGTTACATTGGAAAAGCCAAAAATGTCCTAAGAATGCCATCTAATTCTCTTTATCAACCATCTAAACATTGACAATAAAATCAACAACCCCAAATTCTAGATTCTTCTAAACARTTACCAACTTTTTTGAATAGAAGAGGCTAGGATTTGGGACTGTTCAGTTTTTGTCAACGTTTGGATGGTTGATAAAGAGAACTAGATGGCATTCAAAGTGCATTTTTGACTTTTGAAATGCCACTTAACGACTGGTTAACGATAAGTACTGGATTGTCACATTTTGAAAGTTTGAAGACCAAATTGTCACTCGAGCCAAAGTACATGGTAGTGATCGGGAATTTTCTCTAAAAAATTATAGATAATAATATATTTAATTTAATAAAATAAAACAATAAATAAATAAATAATCATGGTCATCGGGCAATAGAGTGAAAGAGGGAGAGATGACTTTTGTCATTGTATCTTTGTTTTATAGTGGAATAATTGTAAAGAGTTAAATAATAATTATTTTAATTTAATAAATAAATAAATTTATAAAATAAATGAGATAAATAGACAATCAAGTGAGAGAGTAAATAACTTAGCATTGTTAAATTTAGCGTTGTTAATGGGTTGGGCTGAAGTTTGAACTATTGGGCTACCGAGCCCATGAATAGGCTTAGCTCGGTTCGTAGCCAGGCCTAAGACTTGGCCCACGGGCCAGCCCAGCCCATGGCACGACATAGGTCCAGGCTAAAATAAAAATTTAAGATCTTTAATTTTTTGTCTATTTTTTTAATTTATGTTAAAATTTTCATAATTTTTTTCAAAATTTAAAAAAAAAACATGGCTTAGTCTAGTTCGTGGCCCAACTTGGCCCACAGGCCAGTTCAGCCCGTGGCATGACATGGGCCCACAGGCCAGTTCAGCCCGTGGCATGACATGGGCCCAAGTCGTATACTATATACAATAATTATATAATATATTAATATATAAGTTTATTTTCAATTTTATTATATTATTGCATATATAAACAATTGTACACATCAAAATTCATATAAAATAAAATTTTAAGATCTTTTTTAATTTTTGTCTATTTATTTTAATTTATGTTAAATCTTTCATTATTTTTTCAAACTTTTAAAAAACATGGCTTAGCTCGATCTGTGGCCTGACCTGGCCTAAGACTGGGCCTACGGTACAAAATGGGCTTGTGCGGGCTCGGGCCATATATTATATACAATAATTATATAATATGTAATTTTATTTTCAATTTTATTATATCATTTTATTTTATTATTGCATATATAAACAATTGTATACATCAAAATTCATATATAAACATTAAGAGAGGGGGATGAGCTACCTCCCGCTGTGTAGCCCCATGAAGCTAAAAAAAACGTTGTAGAGGCGTAGTACTGAGGTGACAAAGCAAGAGCACCGGTCAAGGGTCAAAACATCGATACGCCCCAACAAGCTGTATGGGGCGTATTCGGTGTTTCAACCCAGGCATGCGGCCACCCCTTTTTCGTAAACCTGTTCAGGTGCGGTTGGTCTAAAGCCTTACTACCCTTTAGGGGTCAGCAAAAAAAAAACCGAAAAATCGAATCGAACCAATAAGACCAAATCAAAAATTCTGGTTAACTGAACCGGTCAATTGGGTTTTGGTTAACTAATATAAAAAGTGGCAGTTAATAGAACCGACTGGTTTATATATATATTTTTATATATTTATATATTTTATATATATATTATAAATTAATAAATATGTATTATATGTAGAAATATATTATTTATGACTTAAAATATAATTTTTTATAATATATATTATAAATATAAAAAAACTGATGAACCGAATTGRTCAACCAAATAACCAATAGGCTTTGGTTCAGTTTTAATTACTGATTTTCCAGAAACCGGTAGTACCAATTCAGTTTCAAAAATAAGCCGACTACCCTCTAAAATGACTCAAAACTCCCAAAGGATCAAATTTTCGTATACCGGTTACCTATCAATATGATAGATATTACCAATACGATATGTATTAATCAATAAGGGCCAATACGTTGCGAACTTTTGATCCTTGGCATGGATATCTGCTGTGTATATAGCGGGCTATGGAATCAAATAAACACGCTAGTGTTCCATTTAGCTAGGATTGTATCAGGACAGGACTTCTAGGTGTATGACGCGTAAGCATCAAGCTGTGAAACTAAAACCTAATGATACTTGGTCACGTAAAGAGCTGGAAGAATATTAGGAACTTGCCAATGGATTAATGACCATAAAAAAGCTGTGAATGGTTGTTTACTAAAACAAAAAGCACTGCTACATTGCTTTTGCTGACATAGCAGTTCTTGTTCAGAAAACAAAACCCACCCCAATCTTAAATGTATAACCCCTTCTGTTATCATTAAAAAAAATGGACCATCGATAGTATCCATACAAGTGATTTGTTGTAAGCTGAAAGAGCCAGAAGGGCTAGGATAGACAAAAAATGATATGAATAGAAGTAGTAAAAAATGATTTAAGTACATGAATAGTCTTATGAATATTTCTTAAATTTTCTGAGGACAAAATTTGTCTTTCTATATTTAAATTTATTGATAAAAATGAGGGCAAATATGGTAATTGGTTATTGATATTAAATGAATTGAAAAGAAATCATTTTAAGATATTCAATGCATTCAATTCTCTCTCATTAAATCAAATATTTAAGATACCTTCATTCAATCATATATTTAAGGCATTTTTTTTCTCATTATTAAATTCTAAGGAAATTATCTGAAACTCACCATGAGTTTTCAACATTTCTTTTAAACTCGCCACAACTTTTCAAAATGTCTAAAACTCACCATGTCAGTAAGTTTTTATTTTTCAAAACTCACCTTCCATTAGTGCACTGTTAATGCTTCTTAAAAGAGGTGTCCATGTCAGCATAAATAACAATTTTCATGACCAAACTACCATTGAATGGTGAGTTAGAGGAAAAATGGTCTTTTTCAGTTTTCAATTTTCTTGTTTTTTTCATTTTTAATGTTTTGTTATAATTTCCAATGTTTTTTATAATTTCTGTTTTTTTACAATCTATAAATTTTCCTGTATTTTTGTTATTTATTTACAATTTTTGTGTTTTCTATAACATTTGGTGTTTTTTTCTACAATTTTTATTTTCTGATTTTGTTTTTCAATTCCTATAGTTTCTATAATTTGAAAATATTTTTTTTTTATTTTGTTTGCAATTTCTATAATTTTTTATATTTTTTGTAATTTCTATGTTTTTATGTATTTTATATTTGAAAATATTTTTTGAACTTTTTCCTTTTTTCATCTCTAAATATTAAAATGGTAATATATTAACACCCATTAATTTATTTTGTATATATTTTATATTTTTCTATAAAGATTAAAATGGTAAGTTACTCTATTTAACGTCAAGTTAGTGACATTGTGAGTTTTAGACATTTTGAAAAGTTGTGGTAAGTTTAAGAGAAATGCTAAAAACTCATGGACTCATTGTGAGTTTTAGACAATTTCCCTAAATTCTATTAATTAAATCYATACATAATAAATTAATAATTATAATAACACAAAAAMAATATACTTCTAAAATCTATCTAAAAATAGTGTTTTCATCTATGTGGAGGTAAGAAATTAAACAATTTTGGATCAAATGGGCCAATCCATGTTGCCACAATTAAATAATAAAATTTAAAAATAGATAAAATATAAAAATATGTAGAAATTAAAAAAAATTGGAACACTTTTAACATCATATATTCGACATATTAAATAATAATAAGTATGATAAATAAGAAATGATTTTATTAATAATGGAAATGGAATGTAAAATTTAGAACCAATTAGAAATAAAATTATTTTCCTATTCTCTCTCATTAAGTCTCCTATCTAAAGTATATTCTCTCATTAAATCTTATTTTTAAGATATATTTATTTCATCATTAAATTCAATTAATTAAATCCACAACATTAATTTTAATAGTATAAAAATAAACATTTTGAACAGTAATTTGAAAACAAAACCATTTTATTCCGGTGATGGGTAAACAATTCAACCATTTGGGGTCAAATAGGTTAATGAATAATGTCATAATTAAATAATAAATATTAAAATAAATAAAGTATATAATACAAAAAAAAAATTGAGCATATCTCTAATATTGTATATTCATCATATAAAACAAAAATAAATATGGAATGTAAAAAGTATTTTTCTTAATGATGAAAATGAAATGTTAAATTTAAAACCAGCATAGAAATGAAATGATGTCATTGTCAAACAATAAAATTTGTTAAAAACAGAAAATATAAAGAACCATAAAAACTAAAAAATAAAGAAAATTTTGGGCACATATCTATTGTTATATATTTATAAAAAATAAAATATTGGATATATCTCTAATATTATTCATTTATTTTATTGAACAAAAATAAATATTATACATAAAAAATAATTTTATCATTGATGAAAATGTAATACAAAATTTAATGTCACCCTATAAATCAAACTATTTTTCTTTTTGAGTGATGGATTAATGGTTTGAGTCTAATGGAATAATCAATGATATAATAGTTAAATAATAGTTAAATAATAAATCTTTAAAATATAATAAAATATAAGTAATCAAACATAATAACTATTGAAACGTTTCAATAGTTATTATGTTTAATTTTTCGGTAATCTCAGATCCGGAGTGCCAACTCACACGTTGAATATGGTGTTATCATTTAGACTTTTACAGTTTTACATAGTAAAAGAAATAAATATCACATTGTATACAATTTTAAACGACCCGAATTTTGGCGTTGAGTACAATTTTACACGAAAAACCAGATGTGGCCTCTTAATGTCTGGACAATCGTCAATATTATCAGTGACATCACGATTCCTGCAAGAAAAACAAAAAAAAACGTGAAAAGCAAAAATTGAGCCATGTAGATCTCATAGAATCAGCCTTGGCATCCAAAATTAAGAGAAAAAAAAAATGCGCATTTAAATATTTGACCAATCAAAATAATGCAACAACACGTCATGATAATGCAATCACCAGCGTGACATCAACACTAGAAGGCATAAAGAGCGAATTCAGCTTCCTATGATAATTGCGATTTAGGAAGTTCAATACTTTGTTCACTCTATTGGAGTCTAGTCAGATTAGTAATAGCCCTCAAATTTCCAAATTTTTTACTTTTTTTAAGAAACCAATTTTTATTTCAAGAAAGCTTATGTAGACCATAATCATCTGGCTTAAAAGGAAACAGATTTATATAACTCATCGTAAACAATCTCTTAAAAATCGGTTCCACTATTTCCTTCCATGGACCACTTTCCAGTAATAAAAATTTATATTGAAATAAGGCTTTTTCCATTAAGACACAACTTTTATGTAGAATAGTAAATCCTCCAAAACAAGGATCTCTACTTTGGAATACATAATTGTATAAAAGTTTCTCATCATGAAGAAGCTATTTACCTTGGAAGGAGATTAAACCAATGTTCCCATCCTTAAGATGCAATGAAATCATATTTTTCAATGCCTGGTGGGCTTCTTCACCATCAGTTTCGCCTTTCTTCTGAACAGAAAATGACCCAGAGTTACATATTCAACCAAAAAACATCTTGACATACCACATTTGGCAACTACTTCCCAATGCACTTTGATTGTATATATATCCCAAGGTTGGCAACTACTTGCTAACCTTGGGATGAACTAGAAATCTAAGATCAACAATCTCCAAAGTTGTGCAATAAAGAAAGACCACCTTTAGAACTTCAACAGATGTTAAATGTTACCTCTTAGTGGTTTTGCTAGCCCCAAAAACGCCTTTCATCAAAGAGCCCATATCCACAGAGCGTTCACGCATGATCTTATCATGGTAGAATTTGCTCCCTATCTCTGTTATCTGCTCTTCCACCTCTTCCAGTGTTTGGTCAATATTGAGTTGGAGCTCCCCTTTCCTGATTACAGTAACACTGAAACCATTCGCTTTGGCTTCCCGAAAAGCATCCTACAGAAGATTGATGACGATTTAAAAGTGAGAATGTCAACTCATATGCCGGTCACCCTATAAACCAAAAAGAAAACGGAGCACAAAGAAAATAACAGCATCAAGTCCAAAGATGAGCAACATCCAGAGCATGAGGTTGTTTGAACAACACATGATACTCGTGTTGTGATAGGATATATCTCAAACTATGTTGCATAGGTTCAGGTATGGATTATGGATTTCAAGTGTAAGTATGTTCCAAAGTACTATCCTCCTGACATCAACAATTTTACACTAAAATAAAGTGTCCCATATGCATACCCACGACCCACGTTCATCTCATCTGTCCAAAGTCCAACTGTTGACACAAGTACCTTGGTAGATAAAAGGATTCAGGTAAACAGATCACACAGCCCAGCAATTTCCCCATTTTTCATTAGCTGGATGTTCACATACCTACATATCAAACTATGCCAAGATGGCAATAGTGCAGAAAAGAATACAGTATGTTATTGATAAAAAAAAAAAAGAATACAGTATGTTGCAATACAGTCATCTGGTTAAGTATACTTTTGGCCAAAAATATCTCCTTGCTGGGACCCATTGCATGATGTCCACTACCATGGATATGATTGACATGGTTAACAGGGAAGGACTTTTCTGCACAACCTGTCTTGTATTTCTTCACTATTACAAGCTTGCTTAGACAGATTTTATGCCAATGGATAAAGATCAAGTGCTTGTTTACATGCTAAAAACAAAAGAATTTAATCCTAAATTGTTGTCAACCTAAATACAAGCATAACGCTCTTGTAAAAATTAATAATTTACCTTAGGAGGTCGAGCAACAACAAAAGCATAGCCATTTCCAAGAAGATCCATGTGAGCCTGTATGATATAGCAAAAATTTTTGGAGTCTCCAGGGTCTTCAAAAGCTATTACATGATACTGCTTTGGGTCCAGCTCAAGATCAGCAGCCATCTCCAGGGAATAAAATCCTACTTCTTGGGTATCATTTTCGTTTGTATATAATTCAATGCACTGCAAGAGAAAAAAGATAAACTGAAATTGAAGTAAAAATATTTTTCTTTTTTTATCAGTAAAGTTTTATTAATTCTGGAACCCTAAAGCAATACAACTATGAAACAGCAAGGAACAAAAAAGTATATAACCCTAGACTGTACATAAAATTACCCCATACAACCTTTGCCAACTACTGAAAATAGGTTGTGCCCCAATATGGTACATCTCTTTGGACCAAATTTCTTCCTAGTGAATCAACTATAATATTAGTTGATCTTCAAATTCATCAGAACAAATAGTTCCCTGTTGACGCTAGTTGCCTGGCAACCCTTAAAAGTATAAATATCTCCATGGACCTACATTAATTCCTTCCATCCAGCTTACCACAACCTATGGATCCCCTTCAGTTCTATTCTTTAAAGCCAAGAGATCTTGTTATTCAAAGCCATTTTAATAGAAAGGAGTTCGTTTGTAATAGAGTTTCCCCAACCAATTGAGCCTGAGTACACCTGTAGAACCCATCTCCATATCCCCTAACCCTAAGAACATCTTTTTGCTTTATGTTATTCTTATTGTATCTTGTTGTCTTTCTTTTGACCATCTAAATAAAGTTTTTTGTCATTGATCAAAATGTTTGATACATAAAGCCTTGCAATAGATACAGTTAAAATCATAAATGCAATGTTTCATTTTCTATAATAAAGCTCCCTATTAAATTAAGGTATAAAAGTAAATTTATGCATATCTTGGGCAAAAAGAAAGAACGAATATAGAATGAACACATATAAGCAGCTTGATCACACAGTGTTAGAGAAAGCCACATGCTAAATATGAAGACCAAACAACTTCTCAAAGAATCAACTCCAACTCAACTAGCAGAAAGGAGATGAACTAAATGCTTACCAGTATGAAAGGAAGATCTAACCACCAGAGGTAATCTTCTTCTTTCTCTTCTGCATATTCACGGTACTTACTGACTACAGCTTGTGGTCCAAACATCTCCATCTCTTTTTTGAGTTTGTCAAGTTTTTTTTCTATGTATCTCCTTTTCTTCATGGGTATTTTGGTTAAAAGATCAGCTGTTTCTTGTATTTCTTTCTCAGTGATCCACCGATCCAAATCCTTCCCCATGTCCTTCATAATAGATTTAATCTCTGGATCTGTCTCAGCATTATAAGCTTCCAAAAATTCCCGGGACCATTTCTTGGTGTGTTGCCAATACTCCTTCCCTGATTTTTTACCTGACCTAACTGACCCATCACTGCACTCTATAATTGTCTTGGGTTTCTTAGAAGCCACACTCTTCTTTAAATTATTGACTGCAGGAGAAGTGGAAATGTCTTTTTCTGTTTTGGATTCCTCTGATCTCTGAAGCCTGTCTTCGATATCCCCGTTCACAGGTTGCAAGGTTCTTGTGTTTCCAGCTGCAAATGCCTTCTGTTGTCCTACAAAGTTTCTAAGGAATTCAGGATTTTTATCTACCGGTGGACCTTTCCAGCGGGGTATAATTCTCTCTGGTGGATCATGCAAGCTAATTCCATCTACAATAAAAGACAAACAATTAGATTATCAAGCTAACTTTGAAACCTCAAATTTTAAGTTTATCCTCCGAAGAGTACATTCAAATTTAGCATGATCATATGCTGGGCTAAAGAAACTAGAAAAGCAAGAAAAAAAGGTCTTTAAGGATATGATCATTGAATGCAAGGTATTGGTAGGCCACACTCAAAGCATGCCCCAATGTGTTGGGGATAACATGGAACAGGAGAAAATCCCAAGGAAGAAAAGAAACTACCTGCTCCATAATCCAAATTTTCAATCCTTGAATGGATCCATTCATGCAAAATTTGCAGCTTTGCATTCTCACTCTCAACTTTCTTTTCAAGGCCCTTGAAGAATGAATTCTTATCTTCTTCATCCATCAAATGAAATGGATCCTTCCCTGCCAATTCATTTTCTCGGACTTGAAAAACTATTTCTCTAAGACAATCATCCTTCATCCATTCAAGTTCATTGCCATCTTTATTAGACCCCAGCTCTGCTATCACATTGTTTGAAATTAACTCTTCCTGTACTTTATCTTTTGCAACCATGTAGTTCTCTCTAAAACCAATTCCAATCTTCTTAACTATGGGCTCAAACTCTTGAAAATTTTTCTCCATCCAACTATCTTTGGCTATATACCTTCCTGCCTCTGTACTGTTGTTCGTACCAGTAACATCCTGTGTAGTTCTGGGCCTTCTAAGATCATCCTTCTCATGCTCCTCTTCAACCTCCTCAGGAGTATCAACCTTAACTGGACTTGACAATAAGACATCACTATTGATTCCTGTTTTCTCCTGAGTAGGATATTCACAAGAATTTTTGACAGGTTTAGTATTTGATATATCATCTATTTTAGAAGATCCAAGCACTACCTTCCCCTTGTACATTATCTGGTCTGTGTTGCCTCTAAATCCTTGATCAATTGCAGGGGCAAAAGCATCTTTTCCTTCCTCAGGACTTTTAATTTGGTGTTCTTGGTCAGGCTTCCTTCTTCTGTGTTTTCGGGAGAGGTACTTTCTAGCTTCCTTCACTGACCGTATGACCTTGGACTTCAATTCAATGAAATTCTTATTTAAAGAAACTGATTTATCACAAGTATCATTGGTTTGCAACTCTTCCCTTGTGTCTGATAAGCTGGTAGTACCCCCACTAACTATTGGATTCCATGTAGTGCCTTCCTGTATTTCTAAAGATTCCATGTTCAATGTCATAAAAGAAGTATGTAGATCAATATTCTGCATAGTATCTTTGTGTGATGATTCACCCAAGAATCCAGAATCTACTCCCTTAGGACCACCTAGAGATGTTCCATTACTGTCTATAGGTTTCCCTGAATCTCTAGTTGTAAAACTATTTAGAAAGCGCACACCTACCTCTTCATGACCATTGCCATTTTCCATATCAGTGGAAATGTCCTCATGTACAAGCTCATTTCTTTCTTTCCTATCTAGTGTGGAAGAATCTTGTTGCTCGAGTTCCTGTGCAAGCCTAGCCATTTCTCTTATTTCCTGAATTTTATCATCAAACCCTATAGATTTGGCAGTAGGAGTATTGGAAGAATCTAATAATGCCAATTTAGTTTCTGATGTCCTCGCTTTCAAAATGCTCTTCATGAGTTCTTGTTTATCCAATCTAGGCCTCTCGGCAGACTCCATAAGTGGTTCCGAAGCATCTGGGAGAACTTCAACACTACCCTTCTCCATCTTCCCTTTCTCCATCCTTGATTTCATTTTTCTTCTCAGCATTTCCTTCTCCTCCCTCGTCAATGCAGGTCCATCATCACCACCCACTAATAATTTCTTCACGGCCAAAAACACTAAGGAGCCACATAACATTGCAAATCCAACACGCGAAAGCTTTGCAAACAAATGGGGTTGAAAGGTAACGGCACGGAACCCATTTATAAAACCAGACTCCTTACCTGAAACTACAAACTTAGCAATGGAGCTATTCTTTGGGATTTTATATTCTCCTGCCTCTATCTCTCTAGCCAACCGCTTTGCATACGAAATCTTGAAATTCACATCCGTGAAGTTATCGCTGAGTCCTTGTTGTCTGAAAGCCCAGGGTACAACTCGGCTTCTCCTCAAGATTTCATCCTCGTTAACAGAAACCCTTTCAACATTCCCTTCCAAATCTTGAAAAATTGTGAAAACAGAACCAGAACCAATACCCCAGAACTCCACATCATTCTTATATTGATCAACCCAGTTCTCCAATTTACTCCACAGAACAGAATCAGACAAGAACTTCGTTTTTTCTACAGCGCTAAAGTCAGCTATATTTTCTCGGCTCATGACAAAGCTACCCTCGTCCGAAGTACCATAATTAAGATTTGATAGGGAGCTTTCGGCTATAATAGCCCCAGTACAACTGTCGCTTGAATTACCACAGTTACGATTAGATTGGGAGCTTTCAGTTTCATCTGAAATTACGCGGAGGTTCTGAAAATTGGAATCTGGGTCGAAGGAATCAAGATTACGGCGTACCTGTTGTTCGTCAGTGAGTTTCTTTCTCAACGAGTTCCGCCGATTCGAATGTCGTCGAAAATGCGCGGAAACGAGCAACTTCCGGCCATCAACAGAGAAGTGAGAACGGCTGGAAAATGAGATTTTAAGAAGCAAATTTAAGGAACCTCTGCTGCTCCTCAATTGGGCTTTGGCGTAGTGGCATGGAAATGAAGACTTAGGCCTGGAAACCGAAATTCCGGAGAGTTTTTGGAGGATTGGCGTATTGAGAACCTCCATGGGAGAGAACGCAGAAGGAAATGGAGCTTAGCGAACGACGGGAGGCCTTCTCTGTCTACGATAAACGCGAAGGATGATGAATTGAGAAATGAACATAGGATGGGAAGAACCAAATCAGTTGGTGATGATGTAATTATAAAACCCCTCATAAATCCCAGAAGCTTTTATGCGTTTGAGTATGTTACAACTGAGTTCACATCTCCGCCCCACAACGAGATGTCATCTCGTTACAACTTACATATAGTTCTCTACTCGGGATGGGATCTGCATCTGCTCAGTGCTCACGACAAAGAACTATCCGTCCCAACCCATGTCCTTACATCTTCATTGTTCGCGATGTGCGGACTCAGATTATGTTGGAGCGTGTTGGAACAATTAAGTGTTTTTTGTGTGAGTACATACGGACTCGTTCTACTCTACTGAGTTCGGATCAGCTCCTCATACAGTGCGCCTCACATGACCTCACAACCTGTCCTGGCCGCACATCTGAAACATTTATTATTGATAGGAGACGTCCCAATGCAGGGTCAAATGTGGCTGTGAGGCCGGTGTAAAGCGCACTATGTGAGGAGCATATTCTAATTCTACTCTACCGGTGTCTCCACCCTTCCAGTTCGGTTTTGAGTTTATTATTACTAATAGTGACCCGTGCGGTGCAAGGAATGTACATCAAAGGAAAAAATTCATTTGAAGGCCTCATTCGTTTTTCAGGAATTACTGATTAGGGGCGGGTAAGTTGGTAGATTCCATTAAAAAAATAAATACGTATTGATGTTAACGAGTCTCATGAAAAAGAATTTTCAAATAATTTATTTATTTAAGAACCAGTGTTATCTAAGACTGATGAGGGCAGATTTGGCCCTCCAGTGAAATTATGACACGTGGTACCTCGTGACAACTAGGCAAATATCCAGGCAAATAACTTACCAAGTTGGTATCCCACCCGGGCACCGGT